ACCAGAAATGCAGTAAGTTTTTCAGAAAAGGAGATGTGAACTTCCCATAAAGCCCTGCTTTGAGTAGGAGGTTGGTCTAGATGACCTCCAGAGGTCCCTTACACCGAAATCTTTCGATGATTGTAATTCAGCTGCAGCCAGCAAGTGCTGCTTACATATTCCTCCACGCCGTGAGCGAATCAATCAGGATGGCATCCAGAGAGCAGGGCTGAACGCTCACAGCAGCGAGTCTCTCCCCTTTATCCATCACTGGACAACATGTACAAAAGGGCAGGATTAGAAATATTTTTATATGCTCCAAACAAGGCCTGTTTTGTTCCTTATCTTTGTGTGGATCTATATGTCATTTTCAAAAACTCCTGTAGGTCTGAAACAAATCCTAAGCCGAAGGGAAACCATATATTGCCTTGCCTGGTTAGACCCTCTGCAGTTCATCCCTCCAGCTAATCCTTTTGCACTGCCGGTTACCCAAAGAGCTCTGCATTTTCGCTGCATAAACTGCATTAGATAAGTGTACCAAAACCATAAGTATTTACAAATTCTGCCCAACCTTAGAGAACGATGTAAAACCATTTCGGTTAAGAATGAGCTGATCACCTCGGTATTCGCATGGACCACAGATCATTTTCTTCTCCCAGCAAACTCAGAACTGGAATTCAGAGCAGACTAATTGACTTATAGTCCATACGGGTACTTCTGGTGCACTAATTATGCTTTTCACCTTCTCACTCTGTGTCAGAACAAAAATGCCTTTATGTGTGGCACTGAGGAAAGGCAGACACAATCTCGCCTATTCACCTGATTTTCCCCAAGAATAAAAGAACAGAAATACTTTTGAGACGTGGCCTGTGGGTGCTGCAGCTCTGTGCTGGTGTCTCAGCAACACAGCAAAGGCTGTGCCATTGAGGCCGGCAGCTTCTTGGTCCGAGGGCACACACGGAGGTTTTGTCCTTCCCATTCATTCCTCTGGCTTAAAAAATAGCGTCATTTCCTTCAGGTGGACCAAACAAGTTTGCTTTTCTTGTCCTGTTTCTCATTTCATTCAGCCACCAGCCTAGAGATCTCTCTATCCTAACTTAATGCCCCCAAGCAACAGGCAAGCAGACCCAGCATTAGCCCATTGCTTTGATTCCCCAGGTACCTTCATGGACTCATGGGTGTAAAACGGAAGGCAGACAGCTAAAACTATATATCTCTATTCTTGCAGAAGCCCAGGTGTCGTCTCCCTGTTAATTCCTTTGCTTTTTGTTCTGCCCCTCCCCAAATCAACAATTTCCACCATTAATATCTTCCACAACATATTACCAATGCAAGAATTTGAAGCACAAAGGAGAATTTTGGGGCAATGTAAAATAAATGCAACATTAACATAAAAAGCACAAAAAATACTCTACTGAGCATCTGGATCATTTTCAAATTTCTGTTCCCAGCCCCCTACATTTCTCTGCTTAGCTTGATCCCAAAGCACCTATAGGTACCACACAGATGTGCTGTGGACTAAGCATGCAGTTTGCTTTTGTTTCTATTTCTTCCCTCTTTCCATTCGATCTTCATTCTGTCCATTCCCCTTTTTTCCTGCTCCCTTCAGCCGATCAGAGGGCCCAGACTAAAGACAGAGAGAAAAACCCAGTGAAAGAAATAGGGTCAGGGGCAGCCTGAAATCAGGAGCTAATGAGGGAGAAATAGGACGAACTTGAATGGAGGGGCAGTCGTGCACTGAGGAGCCTCTAGCTGGGCCAGGGCTGTAGACATTGATCCAAAGTAGAAATGCTGCCACTGCACTGCTGGGAGTAACTGGGGAGGCAAATACTCAAGATATCTTGAAATTAAGATGTCATAGCAGCAGAAGATTAAAAATAAGTTGAAGCCCCGTTTGTCTTCGTAAGTTCTCAGGTCACCAGGCACTTGAGAAGAAGACCATAAAGACACTGTATAGCTGGGTAGATGGGAGAAGCGTGGTTTCATATGTTCAGGAGAGTATTTAAGGGACTTCACTGCAAGGATGTCAAGCAGCAAGTTCAGCTACCGAGAGCTGAGCGCAGCCCCGCAGACGGGACGCGATGCTGCTGACCGGCTCCCAAGCACAGACTGTGGCACACACGGACACTATGCGGATCAGGGGATTAGAGGTGGGAAACATAAGCCAAGCACAAATAGTGCAAAGGACTGACCCAACGATGTTGATCTCTGTGAGGGTTGGGATCAGACCCGACATGAGCCTCATGTGAATCACTGGCAACACCAGTAACGAATGTTCTGCTGTGAACCAAGTCCTGCAGAGCTCTTCGCTTGGGCTTCAGCCTATATAGTGGCTGCAGGGTTCAGCTATAAAACCCTGGGATTTGGTCTCAGCATCAGTCTGTGGCCAGTTATTGCTCTGTTCGGGAATAAGTTACAAGTCTTTTCCAAAATCCACTTTCCTACAACAGCTGTGGCTCTAACACTAATCACATTTGGGCTGGTTACAAAACTATGTCCTTCTACCTACTCCCATCCACACGGATTCCTGCTTAAACAGTTATTGCGGGGGGAAAGAAAAAGAAAAAAAGAAAAAAAAGAGAGTGAAGCTATTGATTTTAAAAATTTGCATTTCCCAGCGAGAGCCCCGAAGGTGGCTCACCGCAGTCAGACAGCAGAAGAGCGGGCACAGGGAGGTTTTAAATCAAGGCCAAAAGGCAGAACATAATGCTTCCAATTTACTTTCTTAAAACGAAATGTGCAAGCTAAAAAGCCATGAATAAGCACTACTGAACACTGCAGCCACCGAAAAGAGATTTTTAAGCCATTCCCCTCCCCTCCTTTATCTTGTCAAGAGACTGTATTTTCATTGTGTTCGTATGGTTATTTAAATCATGCTGGGGCTCAGAGCATGCAGCGTAATTGTAAGTCGGCGAGGGTTTGGATGCCATCACTGCTGTGCAAATAACATCATCAGCTCATCAGCTGTGTCAGTAACATTGCAATTATGTAAGCAACTATTATTTCCACCCCTGATATGCCATATTAAAACTTATTTTGGGAGCTGACAGGTATTCTATAAATATGAAAAGCACACAACAGCAGCCAAGCTGTGGTTCGAGGTAGGAACATCATTCCACCGGGGCTTTCTGGCGGCATCACCAGCAGTGCAGGCACCGCTGGATGGTCATAAAGGAGCTGCTGTAAAAATTGTTGCTTTTCTGCTGCTCCCTTTGCCCTTACCCCCCACCCGACCCATCACCCAGGACCCCTTTCCCTTCCTCTTACCACCCTTTGTGCTCCCCAAACACAAGCTCTACCCCCTAAATAGAAAAGATTACTTTTAACTGCAGAAGAAAGTTACGTAGACATTTTAATTTGGTCTGTTGCAGAAGAGTCTTGGGGGTTTGGCGGTGGTTTTTAATATGGCTAAGCCTCGGGACTGGAGCTTGGCACTAAGTGATTAGTCTTTCTGAGACTTCCCATGTGCTTTTGGCCAGATCAATGATTTCCTAAGCTTTTATTTCAGCTTCTTAAAAATGAGGCTAGCATAATGATTCCTTTCTCTAATCCTCCGCATGTTTGTATGGTGAGCACATCACAGCAGAGCCAGCCTGCGAGGCTGTCTTCAGAGAGCCCCAACCTCCCCGTGCTCCTGCTGCAATGGATCTCTTGGCAACAGAGGAGCAAAAGCCCACGAGCAAGTGCCCATCAAGGCTCACCAGTGCGGTAGAAAACTCTTTTCCTTGGCATCATGCACAGTGCTACGCAAAGCCGGTCCGCTGAAAATGTCACCCCTGCAAGCATCGTGGGGAGGAGGAGGCAGAGCTCCTCTCCCAGACGCGTTCCTTGTGCCCTCGGCACCCCAGGGAGGCAGGAGCAATGGTCCATAAACTTTTCTGCTTGCCTCGTTTTTTCTCTAGTCACACACGCACACCCCTCCCCAACGCAAACCGTGGCCAGAGCGCACGGCACGGCTTCAAGTTCAGGGCCGAGGAGCACTTCAGTAACAGCTCAATATATGAATAACCACAATAGGAAGCCACGCTCAGATTAATTCACCGTCAGCTGTTCTGTGTTGTGCCTAAAGAAGCAACCTCCACTGAATGCGTGTCAGGGTGATAGATGAGGACTTTTTTTTTTTTTTTTTTTTTTTAAATACTTCAGCTTAAAATGCAATTGGAAGATTGATTCTTTAGATCCCCACATTATATAGGGTCTAGGTCTCGAGCATAACTCAGTGTGAAGGGAGATGATTCTCATCTTCACCTTACAGAAACGCTGCATATCGCAAAAGCTGACAAAGGGTATGAATAAAGGTAAGGTATGGGGAAAGATAGCCATAAAATTATGAATGCCTGGTATTTACAGAATACCTGTACACAGTACTATTAATCTATATTTTTGGTTGTTTTGAAATCACCTCTGCAAGGAAGATGTGTCTATCTGAATGTACTCTTTATTAGGATAATTACGTTTTTATTTTGGGGGGACACTGAGGTGATCTATTCTTTTACTGTATTCTGTAGTGTATTATATTCATGGGAAAACATATTTATTCAGAACTTCATTTTGATTTAATAGAAAAATGGTTCTTGCCACAGCAATGTGGAATACTCATTTTTCTCCATGTGTTGATTTTTGGCATATAAATGCCAGAAGCCTCTGTTCTCTTTCCTTATCAAGAAAAACTTGCCTGAGATTAATTTCCTCATCATCCCTTCCTTTTAAAGTGGCTGTTTTTCAATGCCATTTAAAGACAGAGTTGTGATAAATTCCTGTTTTCAATGTACAGGTTTCAATGAAAGAGTCTATTCCACAGCAGTAAAGTAATTGAATCCAAATGGAAAGGGACAAAAAAAAAAAAAAAAAAAAGAATCATGAAATCAGGTACTGCTACTCCAGCCTATTGTATGAGAGGTGCCTTCATGTATTTTTCTTTCTAATGACAATTAGTTTTGAAACAAACTAATGCAAAAGTTTTAAAAGTTTTTATTGAGGGGAAGGGACATGCTTCTGACACCACCTCTTTACAATTGCAGATTGGACTAATTGAAGACTACTTATACCAAGTAGAAGACAATTACTTAAAGAACAAAAGGCTGAGAACAGCTAGGACGGAAAAAATGAAAATGAAGAGGACTCAAAGTACACAGCAACATCAGAGCCTAGGAAATACAGAACTGTCCCTTACCAGCCCTAAAGACATGGCCACATAGAGCAGAAGAAAATTAACACTGTAGATATTTGATAGATAGGTCAAAAAAGCCACCTTTCCACTTAATGAGCCTTCCCCTCACTATGGGGTATCTTTAGCAAGACACTCCTGCACTTCATTAGTCTTAACTGGCTGGAATAAATGTCCATGAAAGGTTTATTTTAAATTACCAATTTAAATAAACTGGTAACACCCAGCCAAAAAGGGGTCTGTATTTTCTGCTCTGAGAATATTCTGCATCCAAACTCTGTAAAATCCTCCTGGCTTGATTATCGCCCAAAAAGCACCGAAAACAGGGATCCCTCCATCCTCAGCTAAGAGGAATTCAGCCTCACATTGCCTCCTTTCCAGGTTAATGCCTTACACCACAGATATCAGTACACTCTACATAGGTGGAAAGTGGCATCCTGCACCTTGGGGCTGCAGCCACCACAAGCGCAAGAAACGCGACACTAGGAGAAGGGAAAGGGGAAAAAGGAGCCCAGCTGTTGCCCCGTGGTTAAGAATGTGAAGTCCTTCACTCTCCTGTGTGCCCCAACGATAATTTTTCCCCCATTAGATAGCAATTGGTTTTGTTTTTTTTTTAAATGCACAAACACTCCAGGGAAGAGAATAACTGCACCTGCCTTCTCCAGCGCAAATCTCTTGGTTAAGGATCAGCACTTAGTCTTGCACTCCCACGGCAGCAGTCTGTCATGTAGGCTCATCTTAAAACGCTTTGGTCTTCAAGGGAGCACACGTTCCCAAATCCTCTGAGACCTGTCATCACTGAGCAAAGCAACGCACCTACTTTTCAACAGAGATCACCTTATCAGATGGTGTTTGACAGGCATCCCCAGCTGATGTGTGCAGGCTCTTCTAAGGCTGGCATTTCCTTTTGGTTCACTGTGTTTACTTCGTAAGAAAATAACCTCACCCTATAAAACCAGCATTCAATTCAGTACATTTTCTCATTGAAGAGTGACTTTAAAACAAAAATGTAGAAAGAAAGGAAAAATCCACCCCCCAGCCCTAAGATTTAATTAAAAATCCAGGACCTCAAAGGCACTTAGCCACTTAATTCCCATTATCAATTTATCACAGATAGGAGTCTAAATCCTACAGATTTTTAGCTGCTGTAGACTATCTTCCTAGGCTCTCATAAAAGATTTTTGAAAACTAAGAAAGAACTGGCAAAAGCTTTGATGGTCCTTTGTTCATCGTTAACAGAATAAGTATAAAGAAATCTTTTTGAGAAAATCTGAGCTAGCTTGAGCTCCTTAAATGTGTGAGACAGAGAAACAAAGAATTATTGCCCTTTGGAGACGGCATTATTTTGCTATGGAGTTGGTTTTGTCAGATGAAGTTTTATGACACGTAGTGGCAATCATCCATCTTTGATGAGCAGACACACACTAAATCAGAAAGACTGCTCCCCACGGATCATCAAGTCACAGTCAACACACAGTCTGGTAAATCACGGGGCTCTTAAGCAAATACTCTTAATTTCATGCAAGCTGGCTTACAATTCTGCAGTATTTAATGCAAAATCAGGTATTTTTACCTAGAATGATGAAAAAGAATAAAGTGCACTGAAAACGGGTGATCTTTGGGAACAAAAAAGCAACACTGCCTGTGAAAAACAGTTGTCTGTGCAACGTGAACAAGTTGATCCGAGCGCACTGAGAAACACGTACCAGCCTCATCGCGGAGCTTTGCGAGAGACCCAGATTCGAGACAAGACGTGACATTTCGCTTTTCAGATATCAGGTAGGGCGGAAAACCTGTCTTACGCTGCAGATCAATACATCACTGAGAGAGAGGGACCATAACTCAAATCAATCTGTAAGGTGTCGGAAACATCTTGGCCAACACCTGGCTACAGCGTCCTTTAGCCTCCAGAAAGCCACAGACTAAAGCAGTCATCAGGAGATGAAGTCAGCTATGAAACAACACAAAGCAAACGTGAAAGGAGCCTCTGTCACAGAGGCCGTTGCTGTTTTTCAACAATAACCACCTGTAATGCACAGATTCCCAGGCCCAGAGCTGCATTTCTGCATAGTATTTTATTCAGGACTCGCTGAGAGTCAACTTTACTCCACGAATGTAACTACGTTTTGGCTGGACAATGGGGAAGAAGCGGGGGGATTTCTGGTGCTTGCTGCATGCAGTATAGTTTCTAAAGCGTGAGATTCACTAGGATCACCTACAGAAACTAAAACACATACTAATAATTAAGTTGCCTTTTGTAGAAATTGCAGGCTGTATTATAATGATTCTCTGGGCCCTTAACTGGTGATTTCTATAGGGCGATGACATACACCATGGCTCCTCTCATTCACAAACTATTACTAGAAGTTGGACTTGATTCCTCATCCTCCTTTTTGTTAAGGGCACATTAAAAACAGCCTGGCCTGCGGTTGCTGTGGCTATTTTAGTCTCATACACAGGGACACATCTGAGACCACTCCCTAAGAGTTCCACTTTCAGGTCACTTCTCTTTCAAGGACTAGTTTCCAAATGAATGATGGGGGTTTGTTTCCCTCCATCACAGAATTTTTTTGTCACAAAAATGATTTATCTGTTGACAGCTAGGTTCACTGGCCCCAGGCAAGTGATGTCAGTTGAAACCACTCAGTGAAAAGCAAAGAACACTATATCAATTTAAAGAAAGGCGGGGGGAGGGAAGTATAAATACCCTCTCCCCTAAGACTGCTTCGTAACGCTTCTGCTTGCTGTTGCAATCCTTTCTTTCTTGTAAATGCCAGGACTTCTGTACTAAGCCCTGGAAGGGACAACGAGCACAGAGTCAGCTCTTTCAGGTGTTAGGTGTATGTTTACTGTTGGGTTACAACACTAATTACGACTCAGAGAAGGTAGACCAGGCGGTGTTTGGTCTTAAGAAACACTTTTCACTTTCACTATTTGGGAAGTCTCTTCTGTCAAAGGGGTATGACAAAACACTTGAAAAATACAAGGTTGTGATTCAAAGTGATGGAGGATGGGTCTACAGCCAAAGTATTAAATTAAACACACCACCAGAGGCAGAAGACAAAATGCACTCATGACATCCAGTGGTAGGGACTAAATGAGGACATCTGCTACCGGCACCCACTGCTAGGGATTAAAGCAGTACTCTGCTGTTGCTAATCTCCCTCTGAGGTCAGTGAGAGGGACGGTACTCAGAAGATAATTCAGAGTACCTCCGTCACGCTCCTGCCTCTGCCAGTATCTCTCTCCACCTCCGTTTCACAGCAAAGGTGAAGGAGAAAAGACTGGTTCCATCCTGTTTGCCTTCAAATTTGACTATAGAGATTGCAAGCTCCTGAGAACAAGGACTGTCTTACAATCCACCCTAGGTGGCCTCTCTAGGAATTAGCATATTAATACTTCTAAACAAAACACCACTTAAAAAGAAGTCTCATATTAAGAAATCTATAAACTAATCATGAGGTTATCAATACAGAAGACATAGGAGGGATATTAGGCACCACGCAGTACTTCCAAAACAAAGTCCATGGCTAAAATTAGAAGAATCTATATACATATACACTGCATTATTCTCACAACCCAGCTGAGAAGTCGTACAAATGTAACCTGCTGCTTATTCAGCGGCTAGATGTGATCACACATCTTTAATCTCAAAAAACAGAACAACAGCAGGCCACAGTTTTACATTTTTCCATTTGAACTACAATCATCGCCACAAGAGCCAATTTCACGTGGGGCTGTTTCTTGTTCTTGTTGCAATTCATCACGAGAAGACATGAGATCTAAGATACCTCGGCAAGGCATAGTCCATGAATAATACAGCGCATTACTTTGACCTTTTCAGTTTGCTTTGTAGTGTGATTGGCCAACCATTCCTGTCCTCCCCTGTTAACCACCCCATTAACCTGGGAGGAGAAGGTGGAACGGACAGACAATTAGCCAGCAGAATACTAAAAAGGTTAACACAGGAGAGCACAGCCCTGGCTTTCTTGAGCTTTAATGGGTATTAAAATTCTGAAATTTCTTTCCTCTTTCAAAGTCTGCAAGGAAAAAATAAGAGATCGCACAAGATGAACTTTGTTCTTATTTCAGATTATAATCATGTAGTTCCCTTCAGATGTCACACTCGGATGATTCTAGTTTATGCATGAATAGACTGAGAAGAATGTTTATTTTTACCCCTCTCAATATGGAGCATATTCAATTAGAGCAGTGAACTTTTTCTCTGAAGCTGGTCATTCTTGAGTAAAGGAAAACTGGAGAAAGTAGAGGCGAAAAAGCTCCATACGGCAGTCGTCTTTAAAAAGGTCACGCTTGCTACACTAACTACGCGAGCTGAGTCATTCCAGTCATTTCCTAGTCAATGCGAGGAAATGGTGGAATTTTTCCATCCTGTGGGCTGTCAGCTGCAGAAAGCTTTATCTCGGTGTTCACCAGGACTACCAGGGCAGGCGGATCTCTCATGTCTCAGGCACACGTAGAAAACGAGGCACAGCAGGTCTCGGTGGAGTTTCAGAAGTGCCCGGTGAAAGCAGCTGCCCTGTTTCTCTGGGTTTTCATGCACCTTTGTAAAATCTTGCCATTTTTTTGAAAGATCACACCATTACGAATGACAAAGTTATAAAGGCAAGCATCAAGAAATGTTTTCAGATGCCTTGTAGTCAAAAGACCTGATTTCAAGACTTCACATGAGCTTCTTTGCTCATAAAGATTTTCTGAACATTACTCTGGTGGTTCAGTTACGATGACCTGGGATAGTTTGGTTTTCAGACACTGCCATATTCTTGTCTTTGTACAAATGTGTTACTTTGAGTTGCTATTAATAGCAACGATATTAAATACTTACTTTAGATGGGAGAAGTGGGGGCAAAAAGAAAGGGACCTTTCCGCTGCCCATGAGAATGCCAAATTTTACATTTATTACGGGTATTGACCGCAATAACGCAGGGTCTTTTTTATTATCTCACAGTAATAATATAATCTCTATTTTGCTTAAGGTGAACAGTGATATTCAGACAGGAAGAATTACTA